TTTTGTAAACATTTCTATCCAATGCACATTTATCAAGTGACCAATAAAATGCCAGACACACTGTGAGGCACATGACACCACAGTGGCATTGTTCTTCATGTTGGAAAACTGTATAAGATAGTGAAATTCCTAATCAGGAAATCCTATAGAAAGAGTAGGTAATAAGTATGTTATTGGCCAGTGATTGAATGTAGCAGATGTTTTTGATGATCTCAGAGATTACTGTTTTTAAAACAGAGATCTTTTATCAGTGTCACCTGGAGTAGAGAAAGGAGATTATATACATTGTAACACACATGATATAGCAAGTATAAAAACTTGTTACTTAAGCTACATGTGTGAACAGGTATCTGTAATACCAGCACTCTGAGAGGCTGAAGCAATAGATTGCAAGTTTTAGCACAAAACAGTCTCAAAGTAAAAAATAAAGAAGGCTGGGGGTGTAGCTCACTGTGAAGGCCCTAGGTTCAACCTCCAGGACTAAAACCAAAGCAAAAACGAAAACATACATCTTGTTGCTCAAAGAAAAGAAATAAGTGGGGAAATTGGGAAACAGTTCCATTGAGACTGATTATCACAAAACCTTTAGAATATAAAAGTTGGAGTTAGAAGAATTTAAAGATACATTTTCCTCTGGTACAAGGCTTCTAATTATAGAGACAGGGTCAGCATCAAACAATAATGACGCTGCTTATTTATAAGCTGCATGGGAAAGCAGGTGGTGGCTTCTGTGGAAAATGACAGGTTGGTAAGTTTTGTATATCTTGCAAAGGGCAAGTAAAATTAGGATCATATTTACATCAGGCAGTGCAGTTAGCATGAAATTAATTAACTGAACCATGTCTGTAAGGTTCTGTGAATAATTACTGTATGCACACACCAAGTTGTTTGCATTCATTAAGGGACTACAGCTCTGTGCCGTCTCACCATCATCACCACCACATTGTCCTCATCATCGTCATCATCATCGTCATCATGATCCTCATCATCATCCTCATCTTGTAGCTGAGGAAGCTCCAATTTTGAAGGTTGTGTTGGCTTCCCAAAGCTATTACAATAAGTCACCGCAAAGTTGGTGGCTGAAAACAGAGAAGTCTCTCTTACAAATCTGGTGGTCAGAAGTTCAAAATCAAGGAGTTGGCTGGGCCCCGGTCCCAGCAAGGCCTTAAGGTGCACATGTGCTGCCTCTTCAGCTTCTCCTGGCTCCTGATGTGTCTCAGCTTGAGCGTACAGAACTCCTTTCCCATTGCCCTCTCCTCTATGGTATTTCTCAGCTCTCTCTCAGCCTGTGTCTTAAATGGACATTCATCACTGGATTTAGGGCCCATTTTATTACCCCTGATAATTTCTTCCCCACTTCTTTACCTGAATTGTAGTTATAAGGAATCTTTTCCATTTAAGTTTTCATTCACTGACTCTGGGTGTTAAGGTGTGAGCACCTCATTTGGGGGGGCCACATCAAACCGATACAGAAGCGGAACAATCCCCCCAAAACCACACAGGTAGTAAGCCATCCTAGCTGCCTGGCCTGAAGGCACATGCCTTCACCCTTTCTTTATTCATTACCAGTCTCTAACAAGTTATGTGCTCATCAGTGAAAATATTCATTACTTAGGAAATAAATTAACACCTAATAGATGACATATGCAAGTCATTATAAAAATGCTATTTATAGCTTCTTTAAATATGCTAAGCTCAAAACCACTCAACGTGAATGTGATGTATTCTTCTGAAAGTGACTCATTTCATTCAGAAAATACTGAAATGACCACAACACATTTCCTAGTTTCAATCTTCTTCAATTAGGTGACTTGTTATTATTCAATTGGTTTAAATGCCAATAGGCAACTCTGACAATTGAAGTAATATATTCATCCAGATTCCAAGTAATTGGGCTTATCTCTATGGATTTAATGATCATAATATCCACTCGGCTGTAATAGTCCTATTCTAGAATCAAAGTTCTCCATGTGGGTTCTGTAGAATGCAGGAACAAAACCACACCCCACAGAAAAGCAAAACAGAATCACCAACTTTTGCAAAATTCTATCAAAACTTCTTAACTCTTATTTTATCTTTCTGGTTGTATATTAGATAAGAACATACTTTGGCTGTTAAAACTATTTCTTAGAGATTTTTAAGATCCTTATGGCTTTCAAATGATGCATTAGTTAGAGAAGAAAATGAGGGAAGAGTAATATCTTTTTAACTCCATTTGTCTAAAAGAGAAACTCATCCTCTACAGAACTGCACAATGAAGGAACACTATCAATCCCACTCTTTAATGGTCCATAACAAAATAAAATAGTCAGAGGGCTGATGAGCAGAAGACTCAGCCAAAAAAAAAAAAAAAAAATCATGCTACCTGCTCTGAGCGCCTTAAAGCAAGTGAGAAAATAGCCACTTTGGAGAGGAATTAATTTGTGTGATAGACAGCCAACCAGAATTCTTTTGGCAGGAGTATCCTTTTTTTAAACATCTCATTATTGCTTTGGGCACAGAAAACATATTTGCATGCAGTAGGAATTTACTAAAAGAGACAAAAGAACAAAGAATGAGACTGAGAGATACTGTCTACATTTAAATACAGAGGCTGTAACTAAACCAAACACAGGTCAGGTACAAATATAGATTTTTCAAATCAAATTAAGGAGGACTATTATCCTTCTTACAAAATTGGAGTCGTTACAGAACCTTCGTTATTTTGCTCTGACAGGAGAGCAATTTTTTTGTTTCCTGTTACAGCGCAGGATAGTCTCACAGATAAAAAATTAACTGTATTTTATTTTCAGTTGTATATGCCCACAGCATCTTCCTTTTATTGCCCTATTTTTAATATAATAATATGAACTAGAGAAAAAAACATTAATTGGCACAGTGCTGTAGCTCTCAGCAGTTTACATGGCCAGCACTGTGCTGGGTGAAGCGGAAGAACGCAGGCACCAAGGCGGGTGTAACTAAATACCAAGCATCTGGTGATGAAAATGCTCTAGGAAAGGGTAGTGCATAGAAGTGTCAAGGGCAAGGTGTGGACTTGAGTTTGGCCTTGACATCTCACCTGAGTGCACATGAAGAGGAAGACGGGAGGCTTTCCAGCACAGGGAAAGCTAGACATGTCTGCATTGCTCACAGACTTATTCTGGTGTCTAACATAGTGCCTGGCACGTCACTGGAATTCACTACATATGTGTTGATTAACAGGTGAATAACATATGCACATAATATTGACGTGGGGTAGCCCCAAGTCTTAAAGACTTGTGAAGCTACTCAGAGCATGATAGTATGATGCAATAAGCCAGGAAGTGCACCATTATTAACTTCTATCCCTCCTACAACATACCTAGGCCAGCCTGCTTCCCAAGGGTGGTATTGAGACCTTTGCAATGTGGACACAGCAAGATTTTGAATTCTCAAATTTATAAGTCTTGCAAGGCTTTTCCTCTGAATAGTCCAGGAGGGACTGAGAGAACTCAGAATTTAGAAGTAGCTTAGGAGGGATCTCCAGCTCATCTGCTTGTTTTGGCAGTCATGCGTGGTAGGATCTACCACCTTCAGAAGATATCAGTGATATAACATTGGTATGTTGTTAATATTGTTACAATGTTGCATGTAACATTGACATGTTGCAATGATTGTAACAAAATCACTGCACAGTCTTATCCAAGAGCAATGACATAATGTAGCTCTCCTCTTCCAACTAGCCTCTCTGGTCAAGGATGATATTAATTAAAGAGCTTGATGAATTCAGTGAGGAAGCCAGAATTTCTGTCAGCACTGGTAGGAGGTGACGCTTGGATTCCAAGCTGAGCCAGCTGGAAAGAGAATACTGTTCATTAGATACCACAGAGCCATGTTTCTCCCGTCTCTGGTGTTCTCTCTTGCCTGTCAGAGGTGCCCAGAGAACTGAAATGCGCTCCTGAGCATCTACTGGATATACTGGGTAAAGGCTTGTGTTTCTGTTCTTTGATTTCAGAACAGATGGCTAATGGATTTATTTGTGTGTATGCACTCAAATGACTTTTTTTCTAAAAAGTAGGCCAGAAATTAAATTGAATTCTTTTCTCTATCTGTGGCTTTCAAATGATGTCAGTGCCCACATATATCCATAACTCTTGAAAGATGTCCATAATCTCATCACTAATTTTTAATTCTTTCAACATTTTTATACTTGATAAATACAATTGTATTGATATATTATCTATCCTTCATGACTTGTGCAAAATATCACATGCAAAAGAAGTGAGCTCAAATAAGCTCTATCCTCTTTTCTTCTTCCCATTTCTCTCTCTCTCTCTCTCTCTCTCTCTCTCTCTCTCTCTCTCTCTCCCCCTCTCTCTGCATGAGCAAAATTGCCCTTTGTATAGTACTATTAGGTTAAAAAAGATAGAAAGCAGTACATTTGTACAACTTCTTTCCCATGTGTATCCGTTGGTATGGATAAAATATACTATATTACAATGCCTTTATAATTCTAGTATCAAGGGTCACGATTGGTATCGACATGATAGAGTATTTCTTCACTCTGTTCCCAGGAACCAACTCTTGCCAGCTCTGTTCCATCCTCATGAGCTAACTGGAACGAGAAGTCTGAGAAGGGATGTGGGTAAAAAGTCTTTCTTCAGAACATCACTGGCAAAAACAAGCACATCTGCGGTGGCAAATACATGAAAAGACTAATGTTTTTGTTTCATAAATTAAATGTTTTAATGTAGTATGATAAAATGGCATTTTCTTCCTAAATGTTAATCTGACATTCAAGTATGTCATAAGTTGTAAAACATATTGTCACACTTTAGAAATTTTTAGGAGTATTGATCAGAAGAGGAAGTGGAGGCACATACTAATATGCATTATCAAAGATAGAAGTCATCCTGAACAGAATCTCTTACCTGAAGTCCAGTCTGGGAGAGACTGCTTATCATCATATTCTTGGTCAAATCCATACATTTCTTACCATGAGAACCTCCCACCTACCTGGCAAACATTTCCTAATACATTACCTTCTCTATGTTCTTCCCCTGCAGGACACAACATGTGAGCTCTCTGTTCTTTCCTGTTGCTTTCCCGCAATTCACATTCTTTATCTTGATAACCATCAGCTGTACTTCTTAAACTCAAACCGATTACTGGATGGTGGTGAGCCACTTCAAAACAGAAGACACTGGATTCCTGCAGGACATCCCAGGAGACCTAAGTACCTCGGAAATGAGGGAGTTGCAGAGGTTCCCATTGCTGCCCTTATGTGGGAACCATTCTTTAAAGCACCTTACACATGAAAAATAAGCAACAGCAGCTCCTCTATCATCCCCACTAAACTTGTTTCATCCGTCTCTGCAAGGCAACAGTTTTTTAGTATAGCCTCAGATCTGTTCTTTCTTTATACAGAATAGCCACTAAAATTAGTACTACAAATTGAGTACTTTAAGGGAATGATCTAAAGTTTGTAAAAAAAAAATAATCAGTAGAACCAATAAGAAGCCTCCCACTCAAATACATATTATCTTAATGACTCGAGTCAGATTAAAACCAGTTCATAATGCATAAAATTTTGTATTTATATTTAAACTTAAATTACTTAGAACTCACTTCTTGATTTCCTTGTTTTGTTTAGGGTTTCGGTTGTTACTGGTTTGGTTTGGTTAGGTTTGGTTTGGTTTGGTTTGGTTTGGTTTGGTTTGGTTCTGTTCAGTTCAGTTCAATTTGGTTCAGTTTGGTTCAGTTTCATTTTGTTTCAAGAACTCCCTATGAAGTTCACACTGGCCTGGAACTCACTATGTATCCCAAACTGGCCTTGAAATTAGAACTATTCTTGGACTTTACAAACAGGAAATAAATTATTAATTTAAATGCAAAGATAACAATAATTACTTGGTATTATTCAGACTAGTACTGCCAGCCTGTCTGGCATTCAACATAGATGACTAAGCAAAAGTGGGTGAATATACAAATAGATGAATGAAGGAATGAAGAACAGAGGAAGAAAATCACTTGGAGGCTGAGACAGGAAGTTAGAGATGATATATACAAGGACCTGGGAGTGTAGCTCAGTGATAGAGCACTTGCCCAGCATGTGTGGGGCTCTGGGTTCAACCCAGAAACACCACCACACACAAAAAAGTGAACACTTGTAGTAAGCTCTCTCATCACAATAATTTTACTACATTAGAGTCATGGATGTTGATGGGGATCCTTGCTTTGAAAATAATTTAAAATAACTTCCATATTTCTGTAAATGCTTTACTAAAATAAAACTACAGCAGAAGCAACACAAACTAGGAAAGCTTGCAATGACACTGCATAATTAGTCAAGGCAATACACACAGATTATTTATACATATTGTATAATACATGACACATATATTACCGATATATGTAATACATGTAATACATTATGTATCATATAAAATATATAACACTCATATCAATAGGACCAAGAAAATGTTCACATGTAGGGAATCAATCAGGATGAGCACGATTATGCTAAGTAGCAAACAGCCTCCAACTCCAAGTGGCCCAGAACAACAGAGGCTTATTTCTGTCTTGCGCACCATTCTTCAGAGTGGTGAGGTTTTTGCTTTACATCCTCCCACACTAGGTGCTGGGTGATGGAGCAGCCAACCCCTCAAATGTGCTTGATCACCACACCAGAAAAGAAAGAGCTCTGAAGACTCCTGCACCAGGAATGAAATGCTTTAGCTTAGAAATGACAGTGCCATGAGCCATAGAAAACCCAATCTCACTACATTTCCAGAAGAAAGAGAGAAATTATATATTTCAGAAGTCAGGAGTGCTACAAATCCTTGTTGATTTCCATTAAAACTGAAAAAATATGTACTTCTTAAAAGGATAATGAGCTGATAAATTTAAACTCAAGCAATTCTATTCTAACAAATTGCAAATCCTACAAACCACCTCCCAGAATGGTGGAGAATCTTGTGCCTTCTACCATAACTCCAAGGTGACAGGTTGAGCCTGCACCCACCCAGGGTCCCTGTGCCACCGCGTGCTACCCACTGGCATCCTGCAGTTGCTTGCCTGTGCATAAAATCTCCAAAGAGCACTGAACTGCTGTGTACAGATACTTAGGGACTGTAATCATTTGAAAGTTATAAGGAACAGAAATACTGGAGGGCAAAGAATTTAAATGATATGCAGATGTTCAAGGTTTTCCAGAAGGGGAAATAGTAAGTTATAAGGAGAGAGAGAGAGAGAGAGAGAGAGAGAGAGAGAGAGAGAGAGAGAGAGAGAGAGACAGAGAGAGACAGAGAGAGAGAGAGAGAGAGAGAGAGAGAGAGAGAGAGAGAGAGATTGTTTGCACCTGGCCCAGGCTCACACTTCACCTGTCCACACTTGCCAAGGCACCAATTAAAAAAAGATGCACAGACCAGTAAAAAGAAAGAAGGTAGCTCTAGATTGTAAATCCCAAGAACTTTTGAAAGAAAATTTAAATATTGAATATCTCATTGCAGCTGCCAACAGAGATGGATGAGGAGAAAGTGTGAGGGGAACAGAATTTCTAATCTGGCCACGTCGTCAGCCTGCTGTTCACCCCCATAAAGAGAAAGGGTCTTCCTCCTCTTCTTCCTCCCGCCGGTGTGGAGGTCAGGTCTCCAAGGAACTGATTCAAGGACTCTGGTGAGGTCGAATAAGAAAATGGACAAAGAATAACTGAGCCTAAGAATACAAAAGAGAGGAGAGGATATCCTAAGGAGAAAAGAAAAAGTAGAACAGAGTGTTTTTTAAAAAATCAAATTTGAGAGAAAATGGAAGGGAGTGTGCCAAAGGTTACAGTGTGAGCCTTCGTTTGCCCTGCGGCACCGCCAGCCCAGGGGTGAGGGTGCTCACAGATGCGGGGCTGCCAGCCGGAATGAGGTGCCAGAGGACTGGGCAGAAGAGGAAAAAGGAACGTGAGAGGTGTTCCCGGGTTTGTGGACTGCATCTCCTTTATTGTTTTCCAGACACTGAATGTTTTCACGCTTCGAGTTATTTGGGCGTGCTTATTTGAATATGACTCTCCAGAAGGCTTTCATTTATTTTTAAACATACACAAAAGAAACAGCTCTACTTCCTTTAGAAATGCACAAATTAATATGCCATAATACCGTGAAGAAATAGCCATGTTTTTTAGTGTTCTGTCCACAGGAAAAAGAAACGGAAAGATGCTGATTGTCAGCATCCTCACACAGCTAGCTCCCTTCCTCAGGCTGAGGGCAGCCAGGCTTTCCCGAGGCACTGGCCCAGCCGCCTTCACTGCTCTCAGACCTGTGACAGGGATCCATGCACAGCCCCCAGGTGCCCATATATCCTTTGGATGCACTACAAACTCCTGTAAGCCTTTCTGCACAAAACAAGCTGCTGTTCAATTGTCCGGAGAGAGCAATGAAGGTTCATTGCAGCTCACAGCAATTCACAGCATAGGTAGAAGCGTGGGGTGGGTAAGAGCCTTGTGGGAGACTGTACAAGCCACAGAATAGGATCCCTCTGCAACTCTGCTGCCTCAAACAGGTAATAATCTGCTCTTGGGCCTCTCCAAGTCCTCCCATCACAGCCCTCTTCCCTTGAGGCAGCCCCACACTCGCATGCCTTCTGTCCCACCAGCATGCAGATTTTGCTGCTCATCACCTGCCCCCTGCCTGCCACCCAGAACACTGTCCAGTGCTGGCCTGAAACTCCACACCAACCAGCACTCTGTTGGCAAAGAAACCAAAGCACATCTGTTCCAAGAGGTGGAACCCTTTCCAAATGTGTCCTGCCTTTTAGATGCTCCCTGCTTAGCCCCAGGGTATGAGCTACAAACGCTACAATCTTGTGATTACCCCTGTACTAGAGTTAAAAGGTGTTATAGTAAACTTCCCCTCTTAAACCTGCTCAGGGATTTCTGTCTCCCATGGGGCTCTGACACTTCTTGATCTAGTTGGGAATACTCATACCTCTCCTGATCCTCTTTCTCACATGAACATGTAACCAGCTTCCCAATTTTATGAATTCTGAGAAACAAGCAAATAGAATACTTACATAGAGTGACAGGGGACAGCAATGGATCCAGAATTAGGGCTCAGATGTGGTAAAGAGCTCCTTTCAAGCAATTGCTGGGAGAATAGTTAAAAATGACTTCAGATGCACAGAGAGTGAATCATGCTGTGTGGAAGATGAAACACAGCTAAATGACACCCAAAACCACAGTTAGGGAGGAGCTTTCAGATCTTGTAATTTTTGTTCTCTCCTGACCCCAGATGACACCCTCTGCATCTCCCAGGAGTGTGGCTGTTAAAATGTCACCATTTACCAGACATAGTAGTGCCCACCTATCATCCCAGCTACTCAAGAAACTGCAAAGGGAAGATTGCAAGTTCAAGGCCAACCTGGACAATGCAGTGATTTAATGAAATCCTCTGTAAAAATAGAAAGGGATGGGGTGCGGCTCACTGTGAAGGCCCTAGGTTCAATCTCCAGCTCCTCTAAAAAGTAATAATAGTGATATAAATAAAATAAAATAAAATAAAAATGTTACCATTCTTGGATAATGCTCTGGACATCCTCTGACTACTAACTCAGAGATTTGTTTCACCCCGAAAGGTCACCTGCTGAGAAGTTGGAAGACCTGCCCCACACACAGAAGGAACTCAAGCGTGCACACACACAGACTCACACACACGCAGTGCATCTGATCTCTGAGTTGCATTTATTCCTACTTCCTGCCATTTCTTTTCTTTTTTTTCTCTCATTTGCAAATGCCACTATTGATTTTTTTCAAGTCAGGTTATACTCTGTTAAATTCAGAAATGACTCGTGGGTCCTGCAGCTCCCTCCATGCATCCGTACAACCAGATCTCAGAAGCAATTATTTGAGCTCTTTCGCCACGCCATGCGCCGAAGATTAGAATTTATATTAGTCATTCCTAGACCCATAAATCCAAGGCTAAGAAGAGAAAACCTACAGGTTACAGTAGCTTTTGACAAATGAAGCAACATCCTCTTGCAAATATCTTTAATTCATATTGGTCATGCTTCAAAGGACCCATTTCTTTCAAACATGCAAAATATAGAAGCCCAGGAAGTGACCGTTAAGAGGTGCGATCTTGAGTGTGAAATACCTGGCATTACAATTACTGTATTACATATTCATACATTTCAAAACTAATGAAATGCCCCTAATAGTCATTTGACAGCCATGAATGGTTGTATATCTTATTATCTCTTAACAAGCATGGGGCCAAGTGTGAATCTGAACTGTATTTGCTGATACTCCTGAGCCAATAAAGAACAAATCAGAAAAAAAATTCACTGGAGGGGAAAGAAGTGCTGAGTGAGTTTGTTAAAAAACACAGGCCGAGTCAACCTCTGGAAGATGCTATCAACTGGAAAACATTTGAATCCATTTTGAGCAAGACTTACGATATTACAAACTGAAATCAAGTCAGCTGAAAGACGCAAGATGGAGAAATTGGAAAACTTATTGCTAAGAATGTCAAAACTTGAAAAATAATCTTAAACAAAATGGAGCCATGCATAATTTCTATGTTAATATATTTATCATCAACCACCACTTTCACATCAATTGCAAGTCCTCTATTCTTGCAAAGTTCTCCTGAATAATGATTAAACTTTCTGAAACTCAACATTGTAAAAATTTCTATAAGGTACAAACGGAGGAGCATCCTCTTTTGAAGAAAGCTCTTTTGACTCTGTTTTCTATTTGGTATATTCATTTGATCTTTCTCCCTCAGGTCCTGTTTCCTAACATCCTTTCAGTGCAGTGTTTGACATTGTTTCCAGAGGCTTCCTGAGCTCCTCTTACAACTACTGCACCCCAGTTTCTGCTGTTACCTTGGCCCAAACACCCAGCTGCCATCCTCTTCCAGTAGAAAAAATCCAGTAGAATCCAATCCTGTCTTTCTGCTTCCCTGCCGATCTATTCTTGTTACCTCTAGTTACTCTCCTAAAACACACCTGATCGTGTCAACTTCTTGTTAAAATATATCAAATCAATCCATAAGAATGAAAGGCGAGTGTTTCCCTGTGTCAACAAATAATTCATATACGTAAGTAGAAATTCAAAGGTGCACCCTAAGATTTGAATGGGATACAAAAATAAACAGAAACATAGCCCAGATTAACTCATGAGGAAAAAGTAGGTGTGAGAACTTGCTCTCCTGGTATCAGGACTTAACACAAAGCCAATGGTAATTAAGAGAATGTGGCACCATTTAAAAAAAAAAAAAAACAACTGATTAAGTGTTCTTGAGTAGGTACATATCCATACAGAAAATAATAAAATTGCATCTGTATCTCATATACATTAAAGAATTGATACCTGATGCTTTATATGTACCTAACATGAAAGATAACTCTCTAAAGCTTTTAGCAGGAGACTGTCTTCATGACCTCAGGGTAGGAAAAGTTTCTTGTAAATCATAAAAATAAAGAAAAAAAGATTAAACATATATTAGCATAATAAAATTAATAATTTCTAATCCATCAAAAGGCACATATTAATAGAGTAATAAATAAAACCCAAACCCAAAAAAGGGAAAATCTGTTGTAATGTATAACTTCAGCCAAACATTCAAAACATGTAAAAAAGAAACAGAAAACTTCTATAAAACAATAAGAAATACACACAGTTTTTTAAAAGAATAGAAGATGGCTGGGTGAAGTGGTGCACGCCTATAATCCCAGCACTTGGGGGGCAGAGGCAGGAGGATCGCTGTGAGTTTGAGGCCAGCCTGGGCTACAAAGTAAATTCAAGGCCAGCCTGAACTGTATAATGAAACCCTGTCTCAAAAAGACCAAAATGAAAAAAATAGAAGACTTTAATAGGCCATTTATAAGAAAGACATTCAGTGACTAAAATGTAAAACATTACTATTATTAAACTTCATTAATACTAAAAAAATGCAAATTAAAATCCTGAGGAGTTTCTAACACAAACCTACCACACTAGCAAGATTTACAAGTGTGACAATAACTAAAGGTAGCAAGGATATGTGTCGGGGACCCCCAAACACTGCCTGTGACAAGGTAAAAGGGCCCTGGCCCTCACGAAAATAGCTCAGCCGTTTCTTCTTAATCTGAAAATGGGCTTGCCCTCAGAAGGGCCACTCCCTAGAGAAACATGTAATTGTATAAATACTGTAGTCACATGATGAAAAACTACCTATTAGTTGTGGGGGTGCACCTGAAACCTCAGCACTCCGGGAAGCTGAGGCAGGAGGATTATAAGTCATAGCCCAGCCTGGCTAACTTACTGACATAGTGGGATCCTGGATCAAAATGTAAAAATAAAAAAGGAATCAACTGCAGCTACATGAAGCAAGTCATAGAGCTAAGCCAAAGAAGCAAGGAAAAAAAAAAAGAATAGATATACAGATGACCTCATTTTTATGACATTCAAAAGCAGATAAAATTAAACTGCCAATGCTAAAAGGCACACACACACACAGCTAGTTAAACCCTGTAGAGATAATAAAACTGTAAAGTTAAGCAAGGACTTGAACATCATAAAATTTAAGATTGTGCGCTGTACCTTTAACCTTCGGTGTGCAAAAGAAAAGCATACACGGGAAGCAACTTCAGCTACACAGGCTGCCTTCTGTCTGACCTGGGCAGTGGTTACAAGGGTGTCTCTGCTTTGCAATTTTTCAATAAACAGTACCTTTAACCAGTACTCTGGGAGGCTGAGGCAGGAGGATTGTAAGTCGCAGCCCAACATGGACAACTTATGCACTCAGGAGGACCCTGGCTCAAATTGTTCAAATATAGAAAAATAAGGGACAGAGATGTAGCTCAGTGAAAGGCCCTGTGTTCAGTCCTCACAGACAATAAGCAAACAAACAAACACAAAGCTTTTTTGTTTTGTCTCTTGTGCTCTTTATCTCATATATCCCCCACAGTGTGAGCCAGGAAAATTACAAACCAGACAAAAGTGACTCCAGATACCTAAACTTATTTCCCATAGACCCAGTTGGGCCAAGTGTGTTTTGAGCAGAGAAAACATCGGCCCCACCTTGAATATTTCTCCCTTTAGCTGCAGTTCCTGTATGGCCGGGGGCTGGAAGTCTTTTCCCATAGCTCCAAACTTGGCTCTCAGATTTTTTCATTATGGACTCTGGGGTCGTTTCCATAGAAAATGATACTGAGGAAGAATCCAGGTGCACTGCATATTAAAATAAAAAGATGAAAATTGAAACACTGAGCACTTTTTAATGTTAAAGGGAAAGAAGGGAACAGAAATAGCTCTCTGATCACAGGGAGGGAATGCAGAGCGCCCCCATCCTGGATGCAAGACGGTCTGGGAAACTTGGCCTGGTCACCCAGCCATCTCGACCCAGGGGAGTCTGTCTGTTACCCCCTCATCTTGTTCTTGTCAATACTCCTCAACACCCCTAATATATGTAAATTCTTAATTAAAGAAAACAATGAAACATCACACTTGAGCGGGTTTGAATATTTGGCTGTTTTATTACTCAGCACTGTTCCCTGACACATGCAGAGTTTATCACTCACTGGCTCAGTGCATGACCCGGTGGCTGATGGGACAGGAGCACATATCCCCCCAAGAGTCCTCCAGTCACAAGGCAGTTGCTTCCTTCTCTCATGGGCCTGCATGAACAGCATCAGAAAGTAGCAGAATATGCTATTTATATGTTTTTACAATTAGAGGTGGTAGCACAACTCCTGTAACCCAGCACTGTGGGAGGCTGAGGCAGGAGATTATAAATTCAACACCAGCCTGGGTGACTTAGCAAGACCGTGGCTCAAAATTAAAAAAAAAAAAAAAAAAAAAAAAAAAAAAAAACTTAAAAAGAAGGAGCTGGGGATATAGCTCTCAGTGCAGAAGACTTGGGTTTGGTTCCCAGTACCTGAGGAAACTCTGAGTTCTGTGTCAGTTATCTTTTGCACTAAACAGCCTGCCTTGAAACTTCGTGGCTTAAAGAAGCGATTATTTATTTTGCTGTGATTCTGTGAATGAAGCAGGCGGCTTCCTCTGGTCTGGGCCAGCTGCCTGAGCCAGCTGGGAAGCAGCCAGCCACTGGCCAACCTAGACCGGCCTCACTCAGATTCCCTGGGCCGCCCATCATGTCACCTAGTCCCCAGCGCAGCCAGAGGACAAATCAGATGAGGAGCTGTTTCTAAGTCTCAGTTTGC